CCCCAAAACCCCAAAACCCCAAAACCCCAAAACCCCAAAACCCCAGTAGTGTAAAATTTAATTGAAAATATTAGGATTGTTATCTTTTAACGCAACAGCAGAAAATGTTCTTGAGGATTTCCATTTCTTTCATGAAATCGGCATCTTGAAACATTGATGGCTGGGTGTATGATCTTCTACTTGTAGCATTGGTGCTGTATGACCCAGTAGTCATTAAAGGATTCTTGTTCTCTTCTTTTAAGCTCTTACTAGCGACTTTAAGGTTTGCCTCGTATCTAATAGGCTTATTTGGTAGAACTAGTGGCTCTATGTAGACCTGGCAAGGGTAGTCTGGAATAATCACATTTAAATCCTTGTCATATTTTTGTATCTCTCCTGGAACGCTAGACTCGATTCTGACTCCTTGAATGATAATCTTTCCTTTGTTAAGAAGAGCAATACTACTTCCTTTCTTAATATTAAGTATTGTGTCTTTTGAGTATTTTCTTTTGTGATCATTTGGTTGGGAACTCTTGTGTTGGCTATCCTTCTTTGAATCAAAGTTTGAGCAAGACAAAGACTCCTCTCTACTCTTCGAAACCTTCTGTATTTTGAATAACTTGTCTGATGAATCTGAGTTGCTTTCTCTCTGAAGTCTCCTCTCCTTACTCTCATTTGAAGAATTAGAGTACTGCATGTTCTTCAATAGATCTTTCAGTTCTCTTTTCTTCATATTGCTGGAATCTTCTCTATTGAAATATCCTGAGCTGTCACTAGATACAACCTCTTTCTTGTGTTTAAGGTATTTCTTCTTTGTCTTCTCACCAGGGTTGTCAACTTCTGGCTTCTTCTGTGTCATCATCATCTGAACTTGAGGGTTCTGCACTGGGTCAGTCAATTGAGGCAGATCGAACTGGTAGTACGGAGACTTGTCACACATGTTCTTTAGTATATACTCCATTGGGTTGTCTGTCTTGTACTCCTTCTTGATTTGGTCGAAATACTTCTGACAGTGAGACCTAATCTGCAAACTTGACCTAGTCGGGATCTATAGAGGGATATTTCTCAGTAAGTTAGTGGAAATTACCAGTTCTTCAAGCCTATCCCAGTCTTTTCCGTATGTCTTGAGTCCTAAAAGTAACAACTAATTCTTACAATTAATGAATATGTCGTGTTCTTGGTTGGACCATCTCCCTTTCTTCTTTTTAAATCTAGGGTAATATTGCGCTGTCTATAAATCACGCGGAAAAGTCAAAAGCTCAAGAATATGGGAAGCGAAGGGGCATAAAAATTAGTGACAATATAACTTTACCGTTTGTATCTCAGAAGGCATTTGGCCTTCCCTGTTGTAATCTTGTTGATACTCTTTATTTTCTTCCATCTATTTGAAGTTAGACCACATTTTAACAAGTAAGTTATAGCATAAATTTTAAGCCAAAAGTTTTGGTAGAGAGAAGGCAGCACATAAGCAGCTGCTTAAAGAGCTTTCCAATATTCATGGAAATATTCATGGAAATATCCGCTGGTGGAAATTATGGAATAATTTATTTGAATAGACTAATCTATAGCAACTACAGACCTATTGAAGCTAAAGTATAACCATAAAATTAAAAAATTAATTACTGAAGATGAAATTTAAAGATAATCTGATTGTTAGCCTCTTCAAAACTAAGGGAGAAGAGAGAAATTTTGCTGCCTCCAAATTTTAAGCACATCCAGCCTTTCATTTTCTCTCAAAATAAAGTTTAGGAGCGAGGATTTCTGAGATTTGAAAAATTTAATTCTCTGATTAGCAAATTTCCAGAGTAGAAATCCTGATTGGATATTTATAAATTAGGACACCAATATGAACCCAACAGATACGAAATAATACTAATAGATAGAGAGATCCTTCTGTAACCATTATGATGAGACACATATTCAAAAACCTTGTCTTCATACTATTCTGGAAATTTGAAAATTTTATGAAGATATCCATACTCATTAAAAATGAATCTTTTTAACATGAAAATTTATCAAAAGGAAAATATTCACCTAAAAACGCTAAATTTTCTCAACTCCTACAACCTTCCACTAAGCCTCTGAGAGCTTCAAAAAACATTAAAAACGCTAGAAGAATCTCCCCTAACACTTATCCCATTAAAATCTAACCATAAGACCCTAGCTAACCTATGTCCTCAACAATCCTTCCCAAAATCCCCCAAAATCCCTCAAACCCCCTCAAAATCCCCTAAAACACCCCTCTAAACCCATTTTAACCCCTATTTCCCCAGTAAACCTCCCACACTCCATTATCTCTTCCCGAAGAAAATTCAAAAAGTCACCTAAGTTAACAAATTTTCTAAAATCTATATCAAAGATTAATCATCCTGAAATTTCCCTTGGCCGCACTCGAATTAGAAGAGTCGGAGGAGTAATTTGTTACCACTCCAGGCCACAAAGAAGCTAGTCCTAAACCTACGGTCAAAACCCAGCCCAGCTGGGCTGGGTTTTTGTGTTAGGTTTTTCCCTAGTGAAAGTTTGGCCTTCAGTGGGACTTTCACTTGGAAATTTGGAGGAGAAATTTAGAAATGGTGGGAGGCCAAAGGGGTTTTGGGGGTTATGGGATTTGAGGGGTTTAGGAAGGGAATTTTGAGGGGAATTTGGGGAGGTTTGGGGAAGTGGATGGATGGGGGTAGGGTTTGTGGATATTTTTTAAATATTTTTTTGGAAATTTGGCTTTTTATGGAGTTTTGAGGATTTAGCAAAAAAGGTCAAGAAAGCAATGTGATTTATTTTGGAGGAGGTTATTTCTTAAGATAAGTAAAATGGGGAGAGTCTAGTTTCAAAGAAGGAAATCAGCTTGACGATATGGCTGCGAAATTAAAGGGAGAGAGTAGCTTATTGATGAAAACCTTATCCTACCATGAACCTTAACCAAAAAGTTAACAAATCAGGCTAGCCGAACTATATAAACTTGGAAAGCATGTGTCTGGCTTAAAGAGTCAACTAGAAAGCTATTAAGATTGTAGAACAAATTTTCTGCTCCCAAAATTTTATGGGTTAAAAATAGTAGGAAATGGAGATGTTATTAGGTTAACCTTCAAGATTCTTTTTAAGGACGCCTGAATTTTTTCTTTTTAAACAGAAGAGCAAAAAATCAATTTTAAACATCATATGATTACTCTGATCATCGATCAGGGTTAAAGGAAACAGATAGTATAAATAAAAATCTGGGCTATAGACTTCATTAAAAACAACCACATCACTCGGGAGTTTGTTTCAATATTTAAAGAAGTCTTATAACTAATTTTGAGGCTACTTTACACTCAATAACGATATAGGGCTGATTTCTTATAAAGGCTAAAATTTCAGCTAAAACTATTACTAATACTCATTTAGTTGGTTGACCACCTTCAAAAGCGAAGATGTAACTTTTAGATAAAAAATCTTCGATAATTATTCTCCAAAGAAGCTGATGGAAGCTTAAGTTATTCCAAATGTTAAGAAATTATATCAGTTTAGCTCGACTCACATCTTTATGAAATGAAGTTTTAAAGTCTCTTGAACTGTAAAATTAATGAAATATTATGGAGGTCAGAGGCTTCTATCAAGGAAAAAGGAGTAAATTAAGCTAGGCTTATTATAAAATGTATGACTCTGATGTGCTAGATGATAAATATTCTTAATCTTCTTATCATTAAGCCAAATACTCGTCTTAAATCCACCAAGAACCCTTCTTCCCTTCCAAAAACACCAGAAAACAACCCAAAACTCCACTCAAACTGATCATTTTTCACCTATCCAAAAACATGCCGAAGCAAAATCAATTTCTATAAGCTCTCCATCCATTTCCAGACCCATTAGCCGTCTCCTTCCCTCAAACCCTCGAACTTCTCAAATTCTTCATTATTTTACCTACCTTATAAAATTTATTATCTGTTCAGCTCTCTGACACATATTTGGGGTTTTGGGGTTTTGGGGTTTTGGGGTTTTGGGG